CCCCAGGGTCATGGTGGGAAGGGGACAGTCCTTCCCAGGGTGCTCCAGACAGCTGGGTGGGGGGAGGCACGTGGAGAGCAGGAGTGAGGGGGACAGGAACCGCTTTGGGGGTGGGGTAAAGCTGCTTGAGTCTTGCCACCTTCTACCTTCCAATAAAGCCGTTCCCTGCTCTGCTTCCTTGCGCATTCGGCTCTGCCGTGTCCCCTTCCGGCAATGGCCCTGCGCTCCTTCTCCGAGGCCTTCCCAGCCCTTCCTCGCAGACTCAGCTCTCACCACACTTCCAACTTGCAAAGTTTCTTCTTTCCCTTTAATGCGGGGGAGGGCGGAGGAGGGCAGAGGAGGACTGGGGAGCGAAGCGTCCAGGGGGTTGGGTGTAGCGAGGCAGGCGCCTCTCGAGGAGGCCAGGACGGAGACTGGCTCTGGTCTCGCATATCGCTCCTGGGACCTACGGCCGGGGCTGTCCAGGGCATCGCCCACGCACAGCTGGAGCCCAGGCCTCAGACCTCCACTGAGCCCGGCTGCGTCAGGTGCTGCTGAAGGAGTTGGATGTTGTGCAGCAGTTTCTTCTGGTGGCCGGCCAGGGTGATGCCCAGGGCAGGCAGGTCTCTGGTGGGGAAGGAGTGGATCAAGTCTGGGCCCGCTTCTCTAAGATCCCAGGCATGACCCCTGGCCTGGGCCCAGAGGAATCCCCACCCCACCTCTCTCCCTGCTTACTCCAGGCCGAGCTGGACCACATCACTGAAGGTGCAGAGGCCAAACTTGGAGAAGTTTTCTTGGTAGCACTCCAGTCCAATGGCCAAAAGCCAGGCCTGGGGTGAGTCCAGAGAAGGAAAGTCCAGGGCCACAGGGTTCAGAAGGGCCTGGGAAGGTCTAAGTGAGGGGAGGTGGGTGTCAAAGTCTCCCCTTCATCTTAGCCCCCTCGCCTCAGTTTGTTTTCAGTTTGTATCTACCCTCCCTGGTTGTCCCAGGCTCCAGCCCCAATCTGCAGACCTGTCCCCAGGGCCACCGTCAGCCTGTAGAGTGTCTGGCTTTCGGATCATCTTGTCAAACGCAGTCACCAGCTGGTCAAAATGGGGCCGCTGGGTACGGTCCTTCTGCCAAGTGTCTAGCATGAGCAGATGTAGTCCAGGAGGACAGCCTGGAGGTGGGGGAAGCCGGAACTCCTGTTCTATTGCATTTAGCACCTGGGGGTTGGAGGAAGACCGTGGTGAGGAGAAGCTACTGCTAGTGGAAAGAGTATCTTGTTGGTTAGGTCAGTGGGTGGGCTGGGATCAGGCGGAGCATGAAGCTGGAGCGGGGAAGGGACTTAACGATACGGAAGCCAAGAGAACTTCCAGTGTGAGCGGATTAGAGACTAGAGGCTAAGAACCTATGAGTCTGTGAGGCTGGTGGGTTGGAAGGATGGGGGTGGGGGATCAGCAGTGTCTAGGTCAAGAGCTCACCTCCTGGTCACTCATATCCCAGTAGGGTCGCTCTCCATAACTCATCACTTCCCACATCACTATCCCAAAGCTCCAGACGTCACTGGACGTTGTATGTTTTCCGTGAGCGATGACCTCTGGGGCTGCCCACCGAAGCATACAACTTGGGCCCTGAGGGGTGGGGTTAGAAATAACAGCAGCAATAATGATCTCAGTGGCCGCATTTATTGAGCGACTGCTATGTGCTCACATGTCTGCCTGGCGTTCTCTCCTGGATGGAGCCCTGGTGAGCCCCATCCCTTCAGACACTGTGATATGCCACGGGTGGTTCAACCCTGGGTCCCAGCTGGGTCTCCAGCGCCCTCTGGAAAAGGCTGAGCCCCCCAGGCAGTGCTCTCACCTGAGGACTGTGGCCAAGACGAGCCACTTTGCACACCAGGTGGCTATTCACCAGCACGCTGTGGGCAGAGAGGGCACGGTGCACGAAGGCGAAGCTGGACAGGTACTGCATGGCTGCGGCCACTCCTCGCTGCATGGCCACCAGCTGCAGGCTGCTGAACTGGCCCTCCCGCTGCTGAGGGGCAGGGTGGGCAGAGCTCAGCCTCCAGCAGCGGGGTGGGAAGCCTTGACCTGCTGCACAGCCCAGCAGGTATCAGCATGAGAGGGAGCGGGGATTAAGGAATCAGAAAATGGCCTGGGAAGGAAGGATGAAGACCAGCGGGGGTGGGGGAGCAAAGATATAGGGCTCTGTCTCCTGTCTCCGAGACAGCTGAGAATTGTAAACCTCCCCGGACCCCAGGCTTCCCCAGCCGCGCCTCCCGGCCCCCAGGCTGGACTGACCCTGAGGAAGCTGTCCAGGGGACCCAGCTCCATGAGTTCCGTCAGCACCATGAGGGGCCGGCTCTTGGTGACCACGCCCTCCAGCCGCAGGATGTTGGGGTGCTGGAACTGGCCCAGGACTGCAGCCTGGCCCAGAAAGGTCATCTGGAGGCTCTCGGTGCCTCCAGCCCACAGGGCCTGGATGGCCACAGCCTGTTCCCGCCGTCCCCGGGGCTGCAGGCGGCCCCTGCGTACTTCACCAAAGGAGCCTGGGAGGACAGGGGCAGGTCGGGGAGTATGGAGGAAGGACTGCAGGCTCACGGTGTCCTGCCCCAGTTTGAAGGGATCCCGTCCCTTCCATCCCCTTCCTCTGCCACTGCACACCTGCCCCAATGACCTCCTCGATCTTGATATACACGGGATCCACCTCCCTGGTAAACTCCCGGATGGCCTGGCAGGGGTCCTCGTACGTGGAGGGGTCGATGTAATACTTCACCCCAAGTCCTGTGGGCAAATGGGGCATGTCATGAGGGTGCGGTGCAAGGCCAGGCTG